CCTAGTTCTTTTATTGGGATCCATATAAACTGAGATTTAGGATTGATGTAAAAAATTATTATAGTTGGTGTTGCACCTGATAGTACCACGTCTAAGGAACAGATTGGGAGAACATGTTCCTCTAAAAATGATGCTGACGAAAATTTATTCCTCTTACTCACTATTGAAATTAAAGATGACTCTATTGAGATCAGAGTTGTAAACTTTGGGAAGCGGACAATGCTCTTAGGTAAGGTGATTACTGATTTTGGGGGTTAGAGATGAGTGAATTATTGTTTCTCCAGAGATTGAACCAGTTCCTTAAAGATGATACAAAACGGAAAAAAATAAGCTGAAATTGAAGTCATATGTGTCACTCACCAGAATGTCATGGACCAGCTGCATATGAACTATGATCTTGAACATGTAGGCCTGCTAAAGAAAAATAAAAAGCTCAAGGCTGAGCTTGCATAGACCAAGGCTACCTTTGAAATTGAGAAGACTACTAATTTTATTAATCCAAAAGATGTTTTTTGTGCTGCTGAAAAAGGACTTTTATTTACCCTCTCATGCCCGATCTTGTGATATTGCCTAGCAACTCTAGCCTTTGACCTTCCAATTTTTCCCTCATCACAAGTGCTTGATTCTATATTTAATTTTGATTACATTTGTGGTGTATGTGCTTTTTGATTAATGCTAATGTTGGGTTTGAGTTTCTGGTTCATGTCTATCTCCTATGTTTGTGCAAATACTTTGCTATAGCTAACTGAGTTCTTGATTTTTAAGTGTTTGTGTAGGTGATAGCCCCAGTGGCCATGAGTATCGAATTTGCTTCTCTTAGTGTGGTGTATGCCTTCACAGTGTTTTATGATGTCCAAAGGGGGAAATGCATACTTGTGTAATATTTATAACACAATTGGTCTAACTTGATCCTCTAATGTGTTTGCTTTGTGTATTGAGTTTTAAGAAACTGATATAAGACAGATTGATCTATTCACATAAGAAGCAATGGTTTCTCATCATCAAAAAGGGGGAATTTGTAGATTGAGAAAGATTTTGATAATTGACAAATAGAGGAACAGATGAAAGGAACCGGTTGCAATGACATGTTCCTTTCAGATCAAACTCGACCGGGATAAGGAGAATGTCAACCACGCGAATTAGAAGTTATAAAGCGGTGGAAGGGTTGCGTATTCAATAAGAAAGCAGTGCAAAAAGGTTTCCTTAAAGAAATCCTAAGCGAAGTAGTAAGCATAAACAAAGTAGGAAACATAGGCAAAGAAGGAAGTAGTGTGAATAAAGATTCAAGAAGGAAATAAATCAAAGCCCAATCAAATAGGAAAACTACACGAAGTAGGAAAAAAAGAACATACCACGTGAGCTTCCAAGTTCTACGCAGAAGAGGAAGTCGAGTATGAGTAGGAGTCCAAGTTGAAATAGGTTTTGGATTCAAGTCCAAATCTATAAATAGGGCAATATTTTCTTTTGAGAAACTTGCACACTTAAACAGAGAGTTACAAGCAGAATACAATCAAATAGAGGGAGTTCATATTTGAGTGATTCCTGATTCCGAAGTGTAGCCAACGCAAGAAAACAAGAATTGAAGAACTGATTCATAGGCTTATGTTTTGTAGTTCTTAAGTCAAGTTTGCTTGTATTGAGTTTTTATCGAGTTGTATCTTTAATTCTTTCTAGATCCAGTGAAGTATAAACTGGAATAGGAATAGAGTCTTCAAGTTGGGGCGACTTAAAGACTTGGTAACATAAACCTTGGGGGGTTTGTGTTGGAGTTTAGGAATTAGAGTTAGTTCCTAGGATTGCAAGAGTTGTAATCTGAATTCATAACTTGAAGTGGGTTGACGATCTAGTTGGTTGTTGGCGTCTAGGAATTAAAGTTTATAATTCCTTAGGTTACATAGGTTTGTAATCTTTTGTTGAAGCTCAGAGTTTAATGAAGTAGAGTTAAATCCTACAGAGGTGTAGGTCGTGGTTTTTACCCTTTATGAGCTGAGTTTTCCGCGATAAAATATTGTGTCATTACTTTATTTGCTTTACATAACATAACTGTTGTAATCTGCTAAGGAACAGATAGAATATACATGTTCCTTAGGAAAATCTGGGGGTCAGTATTCCAACACTTGTGATTTTAAAAGATAGTGATTTCTGACAGATACAGTGATGGTAAAACTGCAAGGTTAGGATGAATATAATTTTTAAGATTTTAATGACTTGTTTGTATTTTGGACAAGTGTTTCAATGACTTATATTGTTTGATGATTGATGCCTAGAGTTTCATGATTTTGATATGTTAGTTAAGGTCTAGCGTTGTTAAGAGGGGTTTATATATACTTACACTCCTATAGTTGAATTCATTTATAGTTGCTATGTGTGGGTTGGATATCATACTATACTAGGTCACTCAGACATGTTGGATTGTGATATGTTAAAAAGGATGATGAGTTGTATTATGTCTGTTTTCACATTGATATGCTAATTACTTGTGATGATTTTGATGAAGTGTGACTAGGGGTGTTCATGGGTTGGTTTGGATCGGTTATTGGTCAAAATCAAAATCAAACCAACTTAATCGGTTTTAAAATTATCAAAACCAAATCAAACCAAGTATAATATATATTTATCGGTTTCGGTTTGGTTTGGTTCGGTTATTTGGTTATTAACCATACACAAAAATAAAAGAAACAATTCATTTAAAATGTGGCAAAAGTGACAACAATCCATTCAGAACGAAAAATAGTTAGAATGACTTAAATTACTGAACTTTCGATCACTAAAGTTACTATCAGTAAAGCTTTAAAATTCACTATATTGGCCTAGAAGGAAGAGACAATAACATTTTCAGTCCCACAAAGAATTGTCATAGACACTCATATACATGAAATCAATAAGATAAATGTTTCATCTTGGGCATTTTTGCTTTCAATAAGTAAATTATAAAGAAATTTTAATGAAAATATGTATAAGATCTTTAAAATTGTTTATAAAAACAATATATTAAGTATGTATATTAATAAAATATATGTATATAATTCATCGGTTCGATTTGGTTATTTCTTTGGTTTTTTTCGAATAAAACCATAGCCAAACCAAATACTATCGGTTTTCAAAAATTTAAAACCAAACCCAAATAAAATCGGTTTTATTTTATCGGTTTGGTTTGATTTTTCGATTTGGATCTGTTTTTATCCAAACCGTGAACACCCCTAAGTGTCACTATGAGTTTGACTATGCGGAAATACATTTTACTAACTTTATGAATGTGATTATATCAGTTACTAATCTAATTAATTAGTCGGTTTATGAGCCTATAAGTATTTAGTATTTGTATCAATGCTATTTCTGAACTTTCTTATAGTGCAGATCGTGATCCCGAGGTGTACTAGACCCCACATCTAGTTGAGTTGCTTTCATATTTAAGGGTAAGCTATTTCCATCCAGACTATTGTTGTAGGTCTTTTTATTTCTGATTTCTTTCTTTCTACACATTGAGATTATTTATTATATAGTTATTGCTACTTTTAGACTCTTTTTTGTTTTTAGATATTTTATTATGATGACTTTCAAATTTAAGGTTGTAATTGATATTTTATTATGATGACTTTCAAATTTTAATGTTGTAATAGTTAGACTTTATTATGTTATGTTTCCATATTCTGGCTAGAACTGTTAGATATTACAAGAGCTAGAATGTCAAGTGTTGATTCATCCACAGAGAGGTTGATGTGGGTCTCCGTAGTCACGGTGATTTGGATCGTAATAATAGAGTTCCATAGTTTCTTAATTTCTTTTCTTATTGGAAAATTCCTCCTCCTTTTCTTGTTATCATTATGAGAGATTTATAATATGTCAGTATGACGCCACAAAAGCGTCAGCAAAGATTATGGGCATAAAGTATAATTGAGAATTGACCCCATGTGTCATCCACAGAGCCTAATTCATCTCTCAATCAAAACAAAACAACACTCAAAAAGTGGGCATGCCAAACCACAAAACCAAAAAGTAATCTAAGAAAACAAAAGGGGGGGGGGGGGGGGAATTATGGGTCCCTTTCACAATCCATTACTACCTACTCAGGCCCCAGATATACTGAATGGTGTCTCATGTTTATAGTCAATTATAATACTATAGATTAACTTTTTTGACAGCTAATTGACCTTCTATAATCCTCTAACAACAACCATGTTCAACAGCTCAGGTATTCACTAACAGACCATTAATTAAAACAATAAAGGTAGATTTGAAAAATAAATGTAATTCATTTCATAGTTTTCTAAAACGCCAAATAACTGTCTTGTGGAGGTAGAAAAATTATTTTTGAAAGACCATCAGTTTCAATATAGCAAATCCAAATACAAAGAATAAGAAAAAATAGCTACTAACAAGGCAATATTGCAAATCGTACAAGATGGAACAAGAGCAACAAAATAATGTGATAATGGAATAAACATAATAAATAACAAATGATGATAGGTAAAAAGCAAAAATTACAATAATACAGCTAGTACAACGACAAACACCAATAAACCAAAATTCTCGAAAAGCAAGACAATATTCCACTGTCCACTAAATTCAGTCCACCATAGGAACCAGAGGATATAATATCTTCTTTATTTGCTTCAACTGTCTAAAATGGCAACAACCTTTTAAAAGCTTTTGCTTTTCATAAGTATCATTTATTAGTACAGTGCTATGTGCTAACCACAAAACCACTACACTTCAATGTAATCCTTCTGTCTCTTAATTAATAGTACCTTTTATGTACTATTTGATGAATGTAAAAACATTTTAAAAGACTCACTTGATAGTTAAGTCACTATTTTAAGGAGTGGGGGGGACACTACTAATGTTGTAACATTATAATCATGCCAAACTTTTTATTTTCTTTCATCTTGTTTATACTTTCCTAACAACAACAAAGTCCTGGAGCAAAAGCCTATTGATTCACCAGTTTGCTAACCTACTTTGTCGGCAATGTGCACTCTGTAACCAAAATAGAGCTCTGGACTTAAAACCACCCACTTTTAGAAGTTTGGAAGGCGGGCGCCTAAACTAGTGAGTGACATTCCACACATGAAAATTTATGAGCTTTTTTTTCTCATTTGCTGGTTGGCTCATGGATACTGCACCTCTGATATTCACATTGGTTATCAGGTAAGTCTTGCTATACCAACATCATATTGCAAAGGATTCATAGGCAGGGCTTTTCTAATGGAAACTGATCACAACCAAATTGGACCAAATTTTAGAGGTGGAATCAGTGTTGAAGCCAATAATGATAAATACACATGTTCACTTGATGTTTTTCTGGGAGATGTCAAGGTTTGGAGTTCTGGTCATTTGTCACAATTCTACACAATAGACAAATGTACACTTGAGCTAACTCAGTATGGAGACTTGTTGTTGAAAGGGGGTCTAGATGACAGAGTTGGATGGAAAGCTGGAACTTCAGGACAAGGTGTCAAGGTAATTAATTGTCGATCTTTAGATATAAGTTGTGAATGCAAACAAAAGGGAAATAGCATTTCTCAGTATATGTTTTTTGAGGTAAAACTATAAAAAGATCAAATTACTATGTGCAACAATGCTAATATATGACTTCTTCTGCAGAGACTGAACTTACTTGGGACAGGTAATTTGGTGTTAGTTGATGCTATGAACTTGATTAAATGGCAAAGTTTCAATTTTCCAACTAATATTATGCTTTGGGGTCAGAGACTAAGCTCAAGAACTCGGTTAACGTCTTTCCCTAGCAACTCTAGTTTGTCATATTCTTTTGAGATTCAGTATGACAAGATTGCATTGTACTTGTACTCTGGGAAATCAAAGTACTCGTATTGGGAATATACACCTTTGGAATTAGATGGCCTGAATATCACATATGTTGAGTTAACTTCTAACGCGCTGGAGATATTCAACAACGAAAATCGTAGAATTGGAAGGATAACATCAGACAAGCCAGAGCCCTTGAGATTTTTAGCATTGGGAAATAGCACAGGGAATTTGGGATTCTACTATTACTCATCTGACAAAGGAAAGTTTGAAGCTTCATATCAAGCACTAAACACTAGTTGTGATCTTCCGTTGGCATGTAAACCTTATGGTATATGTACATTTTCAGAGAAGTGTTCTTGCATAAGACTAATAAAAAGAGGAGATGGATTGCTTTCTGATTGCACTGAAAATGTAAGAATTTGTGGAAGAAATGATTCTCAAATGCTAGAATTACAAGGCGTTACGAGTGTATTAAGAAGCAACCCTTATAAGGTCAATGTGACCAAAGAAATATGTGCAAATTTGTGCTTGGATAACTGTACATGTGTTGCAGCATTACATTTTTCTTATGAGAATGATCCCGCGAAACCTGGAGAATGCTATGTGTATGGACTAGCTAGAGGAGTTAAACAAATCGAAAGAGATGGAAGATTGAGTTATATGGTGAAGGTACCAAAGGGAACTGATCAAGGTCATGATAAACACTCTCATTGGAAGAAATGGATTCCATTTGTTGTAGGAGTGGTTGATGGAGTTGTTTTGTTACTTGTTTTAGGAGGAGTTGGATACTATGTAATACGAAAGAGAAGAAAGTCGTGCGTAGATACTGGTCACAGCAATTGATATTGTATAGATAAAATTTTGTCTTCAAGATAACATTTTCTACATCGAGATAGCAATTAACCGATTCTCATGAAAAATCAAGGATGAAGCTCGAGTGACAGATACTAAACTTGTAACCAAAAACTTAAATTTTTGAACTTGGCTTGGCTTGGCTTGATGAATTGCCTGAGATTGAGCAGAATTCGAAGAAATAGAAGTTTCAAAGGTATGCAAGCAATCTTTTCAGGGTTAAAATGTTGTTACTTCACAAGAGATTTTTCGATTCCTAAACTGACATGTTGAATTTGTTGATGTTTAAGGTTAGAGAGAAACGTCTAGGATATTCTATACTTCCAAAATTGACTTACAAAATGCGCGGCCAAATGTCCCTAGTATAAAATATATAAAGTTATTTTGCTCAATTTGTAAACTAGATTCTTGCAATTCTCTTTTGATTTGTTATAACTTAGATAAGGAGAGATTCATGCTTCATCTAAGTTCTTTTTAGCTCAGTGACTATTTACCTTGAACAAACAAAAATCTACACTTGTAATATCTGGTGCTTAGCAACTACATACCAGTTCTTTCCTCATTTTCTGCCTTTTTTTTTTATGGTTTCCCACCCCATGTCCGGTACTCACGTTGAAGTCTGACTAAATCTGAATTTGTGCCGGAAAGTCCCACATTGAGGAGGGAAAGCGCTCCCTAACAAAGGTGCTTCATACCAAAAGGGGCTTGATAGTATGTATGGGTCCACAAATAGTCATTGGACTAGGTCACTTGATAGAAAATAAATGCAGAAATTAAACAACAAAAGATAAAACAGACACAACAGTTTTATGTGGTCGCTTGATAGAAAATAAATGCAGAAATTAAACAACAATAGATAAAACAGACACAACAATTTTATGTGGAAACTCCTTTGCTCAAGTATTGAAATTTGCTTTAAGTTACTACAGTAACTTTTAGCAAAATAAGTTATTTAGTTTGAATAAATTTGAATTTTGAATTTTAGTTAGTTTGCTTATGTTGTTGAGATATTTTAGGTTGTTTAAATTTTAAATTATGCAGATTATGTGTTTTATGTTGGCTATTTAAAACCCCTCAATGCTTAATAAAATTATTGAAAGCTATTGAAAGTCATTTCAATCTATAGAGAGACATTTTTAATCTTTTTGTGCTGCCCCATTTTTAAAAAACACCAACAGTGGTATCAAAGCTTCATTGATCTTAAGGGATCTGTGAAATCTTTCAAAGAACTACCATACATTTTTTAACTTGTAAGGGCTACCTTTTAACCCATCAGGGCTACCCATTTTAACCCATCAAGGCTACCTTTTCAACCCGTGCTTTTTTCAACTCACAGGCTTTTTTAAATCATTTTTTAACGAAAATAATGGCAAGCAATAGTCTCTCTTTGAATGCCCAAAAAGTTTCACTGACAAAAACCATCAAATTTGGTTAGTGAAAATGAAATCATATTTTATAACCTATGTCATATGTGTTGTTGTGATGGAAGAAAAATACTTACAACAATACTTTGCAAATCCTACCATTGCCCAAATAAAACCACTTTCTGAAGAGCTTCTACACAATACAATATGATGGAAGGTGTTTCTTAAGATCGAAATCAAAAGAAGAAAAGAGAGAGATCGTCAACATCCAAAAAGTATGCAAGTTCAAAAATAATCAAGAGAATCAACCGATAGAGCAAAAATTGAGGAGGAGCAGTTTTTAAAATTGCAGTAACTAAAAAAAAGGAGTGTTGAAATTTGCTTTAAGTTACTGCAGTAACTTTTAGCAAAATAAGTTATTTAGTTTGAATAAATTTGAATTTTGAATTTTAGTTAGTTTGCTTATGTTGTTGAGATATTTTAAGTTGTTTAAATTTTAAATTATGCAGATTATGTGTTTTATGTTGGCTATTTAATGCCCCTCAATGCTTAATAAAATTATTGCAAGCTATTAAAAGTCATTTCAATCCATATAGAGGCATTTTCAATCCTTTTGTGCTGACCCATTTTTAAAAAACACCAACATCAAGGGAGGAGAAAACCACGACCAGTAATCATATATGATTATCAACCCAACTCCATTTAACTATAAAAGGAACAAACATTCAGATTACAAACTCTTGTAACCTATGAATTAAAACTCTTTAATCCCTTCCCCTTCACTATAGCAACTCTACTACCAGTAACTTCTAAGCAATAGCTTTATTGCCCACTAAACCAACTACTCTAGTCGATCTAGACTTCAAGAACCCAACATAGCTAACTCTAGCTAATCTTTGTTGTATTCTTATATGAAAAACTGATCTACTTTATTTATAACTTAGGAATAAATCTTACAAGATTAACCATTGAAATACAAACCCTAACAACAACTAAGAACAATGATAACTCTATCAAGTTTTTCAGCTTGTTCTTGAGCAATATTCCATTGCGAGAGGCTTTTTCCTTTTTGTGAGAAATCTCTATGAAAATGCTTGTTTGTGATATGTGAGGATAGACATCTTATAGGATGAGCACAAACATACACGGCAATTTCATTGGCTAAGGCCCTGTTGTACCGTGGGAGCCGCGCACCAACCACAACACAGGTTTTGCAGGCTTTTGGGCAACTGTAGTTTTTTTCTGTACGGAATTCACAGTCTCATTAAGGATCAGGTCCAAAGTTTGTTCAATCATCAAAACTTCAGACATCAGTTAAAATGACAGGACTTGAACCCAAGACTTTTGATTAAGGATGAAGGAGTACTTACCATTCCACCGCAACCCTTGTTGGTCATTTACTAGTTTTAAAGACAGTAAATTAGAGGTTTCTATTTCATACTACATACAAAACGCATTTTCCTCCTTCTCAATTGTTACAAGTTATGTACACTGTTAGGATCGTGAACTCGTACACGGAATTTAGTCAATGTATGATGACAATAACAAAGACAATGTAAATTAATAATAATGGGAAGTAAAGCAAATGAAAGAAAGTACATATTTAACATGATATCGGTCAATCTTAAGTTGCCTATGTGACAAGTTTTGGCCCAAGGCTGAAAAGTAATAGGCCTAATAAACAAGTCTCTACACCTTCTCTTCTTTTTTTTTTTCTTTTTTTATTATTATTATTATTATTTTTTGCACAAACATAATCTTAAAGGTTTGTTAAATCAGAGTTTTTATAAGCGTCAAAACAAACGTTGTAAGTTCATTTATTGAATTTAAATTGATAAAAGTAACGAGGATTTGGAAACGCCAAACTAGAAATTTCAAATACAATTCGCAGCCTTTTTGTAAATCTGGAACTCACTTTAATTGGATACCAAAAACTAAAAATAATTTAAAATCAACTGGTGATGCAAACTAGTTTAGTTTTTTTATACAATTCTATTTTTCATTAATTTTAAGAAATTGATTTATGTAAAAATTTCAATACATAACACATGTTTGCTATAATCTAATTTGGGCTCAAGTTCTTTTTGCTCCCCTGCTAGACCGTTGCACTATTAATGTTGGGCTCAAGCCCAATTTATTCTGCTTCATCAATCAAACTGGGCTTCTGCCCTCAATTGAGCCGGGTAAAAAATTTAAATATACAATCTAAGCACATAAATAACGAAAAAATGACACAACATGACATGTTATAGTTAAAAGGGAAAATCACTTACGTGTACATTTTAAAAAAAATATTTACGATATTTGTCAACATTATTCTTTTAACCATATATAACAATTTGGTTGAATGACAGTATTGCTAAAAGTTGTGAATGACAACACTTTTTGCTAAGTTTAAAGAAACAAGTTAACAAAAATGATAATAAATTAAAAGTATACCTAAAATTGGTAATTATTAAATAAAAGACCTTCACTTATGTAATTTTTCCTAGTTTTTTTAAAATTGGCAATAAATAGCCCACTTATAATATTTTAGCAAAAAAAGGATTTTTTAAAATCTATTTGTCATTTATTAGTCATGTTCTCTTTTACTCGTTATTTTTTTTCATTGAAACTTCTTTTTTTCTAAGCCTTTTCAAGAAACGTTTTTTCTTTCATTCCTTTATTTATTGAAAAAGTAAAATTATTTTTTATCCTTTCTTCATCTCTCTTATTATTTTAAAAAGTTCTTTGGTAATAACAACTCTTTCAACTTTTTTTTTTTTTACTTTTTTGTTTATCTCTTTAAGATTTTTTCATACATGCATATACTCTTTTTTTCCCTAAATTTTCTCCTTCACATCTACATTCAACCTGTGTATGATGATATGCTAAATCATTTTTTTCATTGTTCTTGACTATATTTAATCTATCATATATATTTTGAAAATAAAAAGTTCATTATTTTATTGTTCCTATTTTCTCTCTTCTTATTATTTGTCAACTGTTTTAAAGGAAAATTCTCTCTTTTCTGTCTCTTTTTTTTCTTTCTAAAATTCTTTCTTACGATAGTTTCCCTTTACTTCACTCCTAAATTTTTCTATTTTATTTCTTAAACTTCAAATAAAAAAGTGGAAGTGCCACGAAGAAGAAAGGGGAAGAAAATGTATACCCTATTTCAATGAATTATTTGAGACATATATCAGAATTATACAAATTTAATTTAATGATGTATACATGTCAAAATTGTACAAATATAATGTAATGATGTATACATATAGAATTGTACAAATTTCAAATTAATATGTTTCATATTATTATCTACCCTTTTTCTTTTACATTTCAATGAGATTAACAAAGTAATGTCAATTTTGTGTTGTATTGTAAGAGAGAGAAATATGAACAAAACAATTTTTTTATGGAAAAAAATATGTGACTATTCAATACACGTTAATAAAGGGATAAAAATATTTTCATTCTGTAAACGTAATCGCATTCTTTTCAATTGATTAATTAATTAATGTTGTTTGACAAAAAAAATTCTTTCCTTAAAAAGAGGCGCATCTTTTTACTAGTGGCTAAGTATTGCCAATTAATTGAGGCCTTTCGGTTGCTAATTATTTTTTGGCTACTTATTGGCTACTTAGTGCCAAT